CACAATTGTTATCTACCAATTGTCCAACTGAAATAAGACTAGTTGAGAGCTTTGGTGAAACAAAAACATTCTTGAAAGTTGGAGTAATGTCCCCAACCTTGATAATGGGTAAATTACTACCATTGGCAATTTGTATTTGTGATGGACCTTGATACTTACGAACATATTTTAGGATGCTCGTTGAGTTGGTCATATGATTGGAAGCACCTGAATCAACAATCCAAAAAATAGATGTAACTGCATTACCTTGTAATCCTAATGCTAAAAAGGTTGACATGATCATTTGTTGTACCATTTCAGGAGTAAGAACTTGTCCTGAAGATGAGATATCATTAGTGGAACCATTTATCCCAGCTTGAAAAGCATTGATCCTACGATTTTGAGGGGGCGTGGGACACTCTTTGATAATGTGTCCTTGTTGTTTACAATAATTACAGAACTTCTTGCTACAATTGCTAGCAATATGACCATATTCCTTGCAACTGTAGCATTGAGTTCTACTCATATCCCTGCCCTTTCCTTTACCTTGAGCAGCAAATGCAACAGTGACGTCATTTTCTTTCTTGAAAGCATTTTGTGTGACAATACGTTGCTCTTCACGAAGTAATTCCCTAAAGCAAACATCCAAAGAGGGAGACGGGTCACGATTCATCAAGTTAGAGCGAACACTCTCAAAGTCGGAGCGTAATTTCATCAAAAATTGGTCTCGCTTGCTTTGCTCATGAACTGCCTGAATCACTGATAGAGATTCAGTAGTATTTGGCATAGACAATATCTGTAAATTCAGCCCATAAGTTCTGAAATCCAGAAAAATAATCCTGGACAGAAAGACCTCCTTGAGAGTAATTAGCAATTTCATACTCTAACTGAAAGCGTCTTGCGCTATTATCTTGGTTGTAAACCGTTTGTAAGTAATCCCACATAGCCTTAGCTGTCTTGTACGACCTGAGATTAAGAACAATAAGAGGGTCAATTGACCCTAGAATCCATGTCATCACCCGAGCATCTTTAATCTTCCATTCACCTAGTTTTGTTGCATCAGTAGGAGCAGGATCGCTTCCATCTATATGGCCCCATAGTTCTTTGCCGGTGACAAACAACTGAAATTGAAACTCCCAAGAAGAATAATTTTTCCCAGTAAAACGAACACCGAAGGATTCAAAGTGATGTGAATTCATGATTTTGAATAGCTATGAAAACTACAAAGACTCAAGAAAGCAACTAGAATGACCAAGAAAAAATTCCCAGGTGGTAGGACTGATTGTCGATGAACAGTCAACCAAAAACCAAGATTTCCAAAAAAATTAGAAGGAACCACAAATGACTCTATGAAACAAGACAGCCAAGAGAAGGCTCTAAATACCATGTCAATTTTCTGCTGAATGCCTCTCAAAGTGAGAGTCTTTCCATTATATAGAGAAAATAAAGATTACACATCCCTAAAGATCCGCCATTCCTATCCTAAAGATCAGCTATTCTATCTCTACAAATCTGCCATTGAATCCCTCTAAATCTGCCATTGAATCCCTCTAAATCTGTCTTGCTATCCCTCCAAATTAGCTATTCTATCACAATATTTATTCATATGATTCTACAACAAATGTATATGATCATGCTAATTTATATCACTATATAATTACATTAATATATACAATCATTTAGTTGTCTATCATGCTAACACATTCACCTCAGGGAACACAAAGGACACTCTATATTTTGATTCTTTTGTGGCAAAAAACATAGGTTTCAAGTCCAATCTAAAACTCAAGATTTTAAGCTTGTTCAAGCGGATGATGGAAGACGGAGGTCGTGAGATTAGAGTAAAGCTTGCATGAAGCCCCTCCCAAGTTTTCTAAATAACCAATCTCTTCTAGCAAGCTTTCAAGTTTTGAGCAGTATGACACATCCTGCTTCACCAAACCTTTCAACTGACAAATGCTGCTTGGAAGTGCTACAAGTTTTTTCATATCACTCAAACTTAACTCCGCAAGGTGACATGCGTATTGCTGAATAATAGATGATGGTATTTCCCTTAGCCCAGACCAGCTCATCTTGATCTCTAACTCTGGCTTCATTCTTCCGAGGATTTCTGGAAATTTTTCTAAATTAGAGCAATGCAGTAGAAGCAGAGATCCAAGAGATTCCACGTTAACACATGGAAACTTATTTAGGCGTATACACCTCTGCAAATTTAACACAATGAGTTTTCTGCAACACTCCAAGGAACGGTGAACCTCTTCAAGATCACTACAGTTACGCAGATCCAAATACTCCAAATTTGTCATTAGCGTGAAATCTGGTGTTTGAATCAGCCTTTCTGAATCTCTAAGATCTAGCTTTCGCAGAGACGGCAAATGCTGCTATTCAAAACACAGAAGAATTAGGATGCTGCCCAGGATAATTAAGATTTGGCTAGTGGACCAATAAAAAATATCTTACTCTCATTGAATCAAATTTGCTCCAACCCAATTTATATAAAATTATCTTTTATTTCAACTAAGCTAAGTATTTTTATGTTGTTAAAATTAATAAGCTCAACAACTAATTTTCATTCGTTTCATCAAATTCAAATTCTCGATACAAAATAGCCAACGAAACTGGTCCCTCAGTTTTGACTCTAATTGGACCACCCCAACAACTTTAGACCAAAATTTATTTAAAATTTGAGAGTCTATCTATGTACGTATTTGACAAAAAGAAAAATAATGAAAATTGAATTCAACAATTGTACCTTTTATTCCGGTCCATAATTGACGCAGGGAACTCTTTTGGAGATCAAGACAAACAATCTTCTTAGGTTCAAAATTTTCTAATAATGACTCCCAAGGATAATGATGACAGACAAACCAACGCAAGTTGTTGGGCAGGTACTCAATGGAGTCATCATGTGTACGAAAACTCATGATGCATAATAATCTAAGCCTTTTCATGTTTTCCATGGCTTCTTTGCTAAAGCATAATTTTTGAACACCATGCGCCCAGATTGCTTCCATTGTCTTGGTTCCCTGTTAAAAGGTTCATTAGTCTACAAAGTATAACTTCAAATGTCTGTATAAAATTTGCATGTCAATATTATCTTAAGTCATGAACTGGTTAAGGGCTATGGAAGAAAGGGGGTCTCTCCTAGATGTATGCTTAAAGTAGATATGCAAAAAGCATATGATTCACTAGAATGGATCTTTGTCAAGCAAGTAATGACACATCTGAATTTCCCTACAAAATTCATACACTAGATAATGGAGTGCCTTCAAACTGTGTCTTACTCAATCTGTATCAATGGCTGGCCTTCTGTACCTTTTGATGCTAAGAGAGGATTGAGACAAGGGGACCCTATGTCCCCCTTTCTCTTTGTTTTAGCAATGGAGTACTTCTCACGATTATTGAAGAGCCTAATGACCTGTCCTGAATTTAAGTTTCACCCCAGGTGCTCAAAGGTAAAACTTATTCAATTTTGCTGATGACTTATTATTATTTTGCAAGGGTGACATAAGGTCTGTACAGCTGTTGTTTGATTATTTTCAACAATTTTCTCATGCTTCTGGTCTGATTGCAAACAAAGACAAAAATGTTGTATATTTTGGAGGGGTGAATGTCATAAATCAGACAGCTATCTTGAATATTCTTGGATTTACTAGAGGTGAGATACCTTTTAGATACTTAGGGCCTCTAAGTACTAAACGACTATCAATCACCCAATGCCAACCCTTGATTGACAAGATGCTAGGAAGAATAACATGTTGGACAACAAAGTTTCTATCTTACGCAGGCAGAGAGCAGCTAATTAAATCTGTATTATTCTCTATCCATATTTATTGGTCGCAAATTTTTGTGTTACCCGCCAAGGTGATCAAACTTATAGAATCAACTTGTAAGAGGTTCTTGTGGACGGGAGGTACAGAAGTAACAAAGAAGGCTTTGCAAGCCTGGGATAAGGTGTGGTTACCAAGAACTGCTGGTGGCCTACACATTCTTGATATTACAGTGTGGAACAGAGCAGCCATTAGCAAATTGCTCTGGAACCTGTGCTCTAAAAAAGGTACATTATGGGTTAGATGGGTGCATTGTTACTATATAAAAGGAAGGCCAATATGGGAATCCAACCCAACACAAAAGATTTTGAAGGTGAAGTTATGCCTACAGGACATTGGTTTACAAGTTAGTGATTTGTCAAACATTCATAGTTATTCCATTAGGAAGATGTATGTCTTGATGAGGGGTGAGTTCCAAAAAGTACAGTGGAGAAAAATTATTTGCAACAATCCAGGTTCTCCAAAATGGATTTTTATCCTTAGATTGGCTACCCTTAGAAGACTACATATAAAAGACAGATTGCTACAATGGGGTGAAGTTGATGAACAACAATGTGAGTTATGCAACAAGGAGAATGAGACTATTGAACACCTTTTCTTCAGCTGTGACTACTCAAGTGAAATCTGGTCTAGGCAGGGCATCAATAGAGTGGCCATGAATTGGAAAGATGAACTTAACTGGGCATGCACTTATGCCAATGGAAATGGTCGAACAACAACTATATTAAGGATGACATTTGCTGCAGCAGTATACAAAGTGTGGATAGAGAGAAATCAGAAGATATTTCAGGCCAAACGTTGTGAACCTAAAATGGTGGTTAGGAGAACTGTGCAGGACATATTCTACGGAGTATCACTCAAGAAGAAGCTTGCGAGAAGACTAAATAGCCTTAATTTCTACCCATAGTTAGCTATAGTTTACCACTAGCACATAGGTTTTTGATGTCTAGTTGTTTGGTTTGCAGCTGTGTGAATGCCATACCATCACAGCTTTTCTAGACTATGTACAGATCTGATATTTGGTAATAAAATGCTAGTTTTAATTCCAAAAAAAAACTAATCAATGATCAAGTGAACTGGTATGGTTAAGTTTTGGCCCTCCTTAATTTTATTTTATAAAAATTTACTCAAGGTATATATATATATATATCTTTGAATTATGAATACTATTGCATTGTTTAGCTTACTTACCATATTGTCCATCATCACATCTTCGAAATATTCAACCTTCAATATTCTGCTAAGTTTTCCGGAATCTTTTTGCATTTTCACTATGTATTTGCTCATATCTTCAATCAAGTCATGCATTTCAATTCTATCATATTTAGAGATGAATCCAAGGGATTTGTCAATTAGAACATCTAATCTGTATTCAGCTCCAAAATCACAGCTATCAACAATTTGCATGACTTCTTTTCTTTTATGTCCATGGAAGAAACATGCGATATCTAGAAATATCTTTTGCTCTTCGGGCTCCAACCCATCATAACTTATTTTGAGTTTTTCAACAATTTCTGAATTAGAGTTTTTCTTTATTTGGTCTACAGTTCTTGTCCACTGAGTTAGGCCTTTCTTATGCAGCAAACAACCCCACACCTTGAGAGCTAAAGGAAGGCCTTTAGCGTGATTTACTACCTCCAACGAGAACTTCTTAAAACACTCATCTGGAACTTCTTTTTTGAAAGCATGTTGATTGAACAATTGCATAGTATCATCATCAGGTAGTGTAGGCACTTAATATATTGCAACATCCTTCTCTATCAATTGTCTGTTTCTAGTTGTTACAATAACTCTGCTGCCTTTACCAAACCAACCAACACCACCTGCTAAATACTCCAAATGATCTCTTTCATCAATGTCATCAAGCACAATCAACAACTTCATTGAAGAAAGTCTGTTTGGAATCATGCACTTCCCATCATACTTATTATTGACGTAATTATCTTTTTTTCTTAACAATTCAGAGAGAAGGGTATTTTGTAAGAAATGTAGTTGATTCTTTCTTGCATTTTCTTTAGCATCCACAAGAAAACAAGCTGCTTGAAATTGATGAGATAGAGTATCAACGATGGTTTTTGCTATCATCGTTTTACCAATTCCCCCTGTTCCCCAGATTTCTACAATCAGAACATTATGGATTTCTATTTGAAGTAGGGATTTTAGTTCCTCTAAATGAGAATTTATTCCCACAACATCTTGCAAATAAGACAAAAAACGAGCACTCTTGCAAAGTTTGGAAGAGATGTGGTCGACGATCTGATCAATTTTCATTTATTGATTAATCCTACATAAATTAGAGATTGATTGTTGACAATGTGAGGAAGTCAAGTATTAGAGAGTATTTTCATAATTTTTATGTTCAAGACCGTATTAAATTGGAAACATTATAGTTCAGGATAATATATAGAAACATACTGTTATTTTTTTTTCCATCAAAAGCAATTATTTGTTTCCAACTCACAGGTCATGAATATCATGTCCTTTTAGATTTGCGGCAGCTGTTAGGGCATTTCTCCTCCCTTGCACTTTCTGCTTCCCCTCAACATCATCCTTATACCTTGATTCATGTTTGGCAAATGCTTCCGCAAAGCTCTCACTTTGGTATCGAACATGTGATGGATCCACATAATAGAAGATCGGAATAACTGTTTGTCTGTTTTCTTTCTCCTTGCATTCCATAATCTTCACTATTTCATTCAAGCACCAACTTGACTTAGCATAATTCATTGAGAAAATGATTACGGCAACTTGAGACTCTTCTATTGCTTGCACAAGTTCTTCTGAGATGGAATCGCCATCCTCTAGTCTTTCATCGTCTAGAAAGGTGGCTATTCCCCTATTTTCCAAACCTTTGTTCAAGTGACTTGTAAAGTTATTCCGGGTATCATCTCCTCTGAAACTTAGAAAGACATCGTACTTCCATGGAGGACAGTATTGTGAATTACTCGCAGAAGAAGATGATGCCATAGATTCAATTAATTGTCTGAAAAGAAAAACTAAAGTTTAGCAATTTAAACACGAGAATGGGGGCTAACCTTTTGTTTATTTGTATTATTTATTATAGACGAACAGGCTGCAATGAACACATTGGATGGGATTATCGACACTGTTTCTGTGGTGCACCCTATTCTTCCATTGCTTATGTTGATGAAATCTCATGGTAAGCTTGTTATGGTTGGTGCACCAGAAAAACCGGTGGAGTTTCCCGTGTTTCCACTTCTTATGGGTAAGCATCGGACAATAATTTTTTATGCACGATTTCAAGAATAAAGTTTAGATTAAAGTATATATAATGTAGCTCTTCCCGCACATAGTGAAAGCTTAGTGCATCAAACAGTCTTTACTAAAGTTTGTATATATAATAATGTGAAAAACAGGAAGGAAGCTAGTGGCTGGAAGTTGCATAGGAGGGATGAAAGAAACTCGAGAAATGTGATTGGATTTCGCTGCAAAGCATAACATAACACCAGATATTGAAGTCGTGCCAATGGACTACGTTAACACAGCGTTGGAACGTCTTCTGAAATTGGACGTGAAATATCGTTTCATGCTCGACGTTGGCAATACATTGAACAAGAAATGAGAATAGGAAGGGGTTCAATTATATAGCAGTGTTTCTTTGCTAATTAGATTACATTATTAATCAAATGTGTTTCTTGCACTTATTAAAATAGAATAAGAATGTAACATTTTACAGTAGATATCAATGGAGACTATGCAACTTCAGTAGAACTTGATGGTTGGGGAGAAATTATTGGATTCGAAAGCTTCTTTCATCCATCTGCAATTTATCTATTTGTCAGGAAATGGAAAATGTGATTATATTTCAAAATGAAATATAAAAAGAATGAATTGTACGTGCATGTTCCCTTCATAGGCAGTGTCCCCAAACTCGCTGCTGATTACTGATTGCCAATAGAAGAAAGAATGAGAAGAAATAATTTATATATAAACAGAGAACACAATTTCATGAGGTATATACCTATATTTAATCTATAATCCCGGGCTTGTGGGAAAGAGCTGCAAGAGTTTCTTAGGAGAGGAGCAAGTGGCCTCTTCTTCATATCTGCTCTTCATTATCCCAATGCAAAGCTCAGATTCATTTTTATACAACAAACGAACTCCAATTTTCTTTTCTTTTCCAAAATCATCATCTCTTTCTCCAATAAAATCTAACTTAATGCACCCATAGTCATTTGGTGTTTTTTCATTTGCATTAGATGCATCCCATAAGCCACCAAGAGGTACCAACAAAAATTTCATATTCCATTCATCAGAATATTGTGAATTGTTGGATAAGGCAAATTCGTGGGTCATTGACGACATCCCATCATCACATGATAAGGGAATCAAATGAGCTGTGATGCAATCAATTAGTTTGCCAAAATAACATACAGCAAATCCCAAGAAGTTATCACTTACATACCAATTCTTAGGCAAATTGACTGATACACTTGTGCCCATTCCCTGATACTTGAACCAACTTGGGATATCCACCACCCAACTCACAAACACTCTTAGTGACAAGGAATGTGAAGAACAGATGTCATGCTGCAATGATGACATAATCTGAAACAACGAATTACAGATCCAATCGTTGCTCCAATCTGCATATATTGTATCTAATTGCTGTGGAAATTCTGGCAGCTGTGTAAGCTTCTCGCAATCTGATAAGATCAAGCATCGAAGAGCACCAAGTTCAGATATGCTTTGAGGCAAATGCTCAAAATTATTTCCACTGAGATTCAACTCTTTCAAAGAGGATAAGGATCCAATGTCTTCTGGAAGTCCTCCATCTTTTAAATTGCAGTAACTGAGATCCAGATATTCCAATGAGAGTAACCCTTTATTCACCAGAGGGAACACAAAGTACACTCCATCTTCTGATCTATGTTGTCCAAAACTCAAACTTTTAAGCTTGTTCAACCGGACGATGCAAGACGGAGGTTGTGAGATTAGAGTACAGTCGGCATTAAGATACTCTAAGTTTTCCAAATCACCTATCTCTTCTGGCAAGCTTTCAAGTTTTGAGCAATTCGACACAGATAGTTTCACCAAACCTTTCGACTTACAAATGCTGCTTGGAAGAGATACAAGGTTTTCCATGCCATTCAAAGATAATGGCAGTTCCCTTATTCCAAGGATTTCTGGAAATTTCTCTAAACTAGAGCAGTATTCTAGAGTCAGAGATTCCACATTAACATATGGAAACCTCTCAAGTTTTGTACAATCAGACAGATTTAACTGGATAAGTTTTTTGCAATGCTTGAGGGAAGGATGAACTTCTTCAAGACTCGAACATCCACAAAGATCCAAATACTCCAAATTTGGCATCCCCTCAAAATCTGCTGTTCTCTTCAGACTTTTAGAGCCACATAGATCTATCCTTTGTAGAGAAGGAAATTGCGGCAGCTATTCAAAACACAGAAAGAATGATGAAATACATTAGTTTGAGTGTATGGAATAAATAACATATTTTATTTAAACGCAAGAATCATATATAATTCTAGGACAATTAAAAATAGGAAGTATCTGAAATAGAATGGTACCTTTGTTTCATTCCATAAATAATGCAATGAACTCCATCGGAGATCAAGATGAACAAGCCTTCTGGAATTAAAATTTTCTGGCAATAACTTCCAAGGATAATCAAACCAGGCAAACCAACGCAAGTTGTTGGGCAGGTACTCAATGGAGCCATCAGGGCAATTGGAGTCGGTTTTAATGAAGTAGGGTGTCCTATAAGATCCGTCTTTAGGAAATATGCTTAATATCCTAAGCCTTTGCATATTTTTCATTGCCTCTTTGCTAAAGCATAGTTTTTCAGAATAACTAAACCAGATTGCTTCCATTGCCCTTGTCCCCTATAAAAAGATCATGAATCAACTTATCATGTACAATCCACATATCAATATCATTGTTTTCTTACTCTACCCCTAATTTTTGTCATTGTACTTGAAGAGCCAGCACCATCAAATAAAATTTAAGGTACAATATTAGTTAAGAGAAATGCTTTGCGTAGCTAATTTTATTTTTTACTGATACATTTTTGCCTTTTGGAGAAGTTTATTAGACAAAAGTTAAAAAGTTTTCCATGCTCTCATAAAACAAAAATGGTAACTGAAATAGTGTCAATAACTGTAATCTTATAAATGAAAATAAAATTAATAATGATCAAGTGAATTAGTAAGGTAATTAAGTTTTTGGCCCTCCTAAATTTTATTTTTTCATTTCTGAATTTTTACTAATAAAAATTACTTGGGGTAAATAAATGGTGATATTAGCTTTTAAAAAATTATTGATTAAATTAGTATGAACAAATTAAATATTGTATAACTTTCAAGTTAATCCAAAGAGTGATATAGGATTAAATATATTAAGTGGTTATTCATAACTTATTAACATGAGATAAACAAACTAGGTAGTGTGGATTTGAAACAACTTAAATGACTTGTGCGTCAGTATATGAAGCTAGAGGAACAGAGTATATATATATCTTTGAAATGTGAATACTATTGCATTGTTTAGCTTACTTACCATATTGTCAGTCATCACATCTTCGAAATCTTCAGCATTCCATATTCTGCTAGGTTTTCCGGAATCTTTTTGCATTTTCACTATGTATTTGCCCATATCTTCAATCAAGTCATGCATTTCAATTCTATCATATTTAGAGATGAACACAAAGGATTTGTCAATTAGGACATCCAATATGTATTCAACTCTAGAATCATAGCTCTCAACAATTTGCATGACTTCTTTTCTTTCATCTCCTCGGAAGAAACATGCGATATCTAGAAATATCGTTTGCTCTTCGGGCTCCAATCCATCATAACTTATTTTGAGTTTTTCAAAAATTTCTGAATTAGAGTTTTTCTTTATTTGGTCTACAATTCTTTTCCACTTATCTATGCCTTTCTTATGCAGCAAAGAACCCCACACCTTGAGGGCTAAAGGAAGCCCTTTAGCCTGATTTACTACCTCCAATGAGAACTTCTTAAAACACTCATCTGGAACTTCTTTTTTGAAAGCATGTTGATTGAACAATTTCATAGCTTCATCATCAGGTAGTGTAGGCACTTTATATATTGCATCATTATTCTCTATCAATTTTCTGTTTCTAGTTGTTACAACAACTTTGCTACCATTACCAAACCAATCAACATCACCTGCTAAATACTCCAAATGATCACCATGATCTATGTCATCAAGCACAATCAACACCTTCATAGAAGAAAGTCTGCTCTTAATCATGCGCTTCCCATCATAACCATTACTAACGTAATCATCTTTTTTTCTTAATAGTACAGACAGAAGGGTATTTTGTAAAGAATGCAGTTGATTCTTTTTTGCATTTTCTTTAACATTCGCAAGAAAACAAGCTGCTTCAAATTGATTGGATAGAGTATCAAAGATGGCATTTGCTATTGTTGTTTTACCGATTCCACCTGTTCCCCAGATTCCTACAATCCGAACATTATTGATTTCTATTTGAAGTAGGGATTTTAGATCCTCTAAATGAGAATTTATTCCCACAACATCTTGCAAATCAGAAAAAAAACGAGCACTCTTGCAAAGTTTGGAACAGATGTGGTCGACGATCTGATCAATTTTCTTTGATTGATTAATCCTACATAAATTAAAGATTGATTGTTGACAATGTGAGGAAGTCAAGTATTAGAAAGTAATTTCATAATTTTATTGTTCAAGAGCGTATTAAATAGGAAACATTATAGTTCAGGATAATATATAGAAACATATTGTTATTTTTTTTTCATCAAAAGCAATTATTTGTTTCCAACTCACCCGTCATGAATATCATGTCCTTTTAGATCTGCAGCAGCAGTTAGGGCATTCCTCCATCCTTGAACCTTCTGCATCCCCTCAACATCATCCTTATACCTCGATTCGTGTTTGGCAAAAGCTTCTGCAAAGCTCTCACTTTGGTATCGAACATGTGATGGATTCACATAATAGAAGATCGGTATAACTGTTTGTCTATTTTCTTTCTCCTTGCATTCCATAATCTTCACTATTTCATTCAAGCACCAACTTGACTTAGCATAATTCTTTGAGAAAACGATTCTGGCAACTTGAGACTCTTCTATCGCTTGCATGAGTTCTTCTGAGATGGAATCGCCATCCTCTAGTCTTTCATCGTCTAGAAAGGTGGCTATTCCCCTATTTTCCAAACCTTTGTTCAAGTGACTTGTAAAGTTATTCCGGGTATCATCTCCTCTGAAACTTAGAAAGACATCGTACTTCCATGGAGGACAATACTGTGAATTACTCGCAGAAGAAGATGATGATGCCATAGATTCAATTAATTGTCTGAAAAGAAAAAGTAGAGTGTATGGATCGGATGAGATCAATGGATGAACATATAATTAGTTATATAGAGGAAAGAAGAAATAAACATTGCAGTCAACTAGTAATATTAATAGGAAATTTCTTTATGTCTACTTAGTTAACGCATTAATTATGCCATACATATTATTTTTCTACTAATTTGAATTTCTATTGTTTCTCGATAGATCATTTATGGTTATGGACCCACTATTCATCTGCACAAAGAAAAATTGGACCATATTACTATTAACTCTGATTCATAAGTTGCTTATATTTGGGCTCTACATTCCAAAGGAACAATAGTTTCTTCACGCCTTCCACACATTTATATTTGATTGTGACAATTGTACGTGCATGAAGTTGACGAATTCCAACAAAAATTAGGAAAAGGTCACCCAACTTGCAAAAGGATAATAAAAATGAAAAGGGGCTAAGGCGCGGGATGCCCACACCTTACCCCAAAAATATAAGAAGGAAGGTGTGTGTGGAGCCACGCCTTGTATGGCACATGTGCATGGAGTTGACGAATTCCAACAAAAAATGAGAAAAGGTCACCCAACTCCAGCCTCAATAATAAATGGAGTTAAATACATGTGGGGTGTGTTTAGTAAAGTAAATATACACATATATACAACCCCCAAGCCTTTTGTTATGGTACACATTTCAATATAACATGTCGAAAAAAGTGCATACTTCTTCGAAAAATTATGTTGTATATATATGTCAAATTCTACATTTAAAGGATATATATTTAAAGTTGGACACCCTTGATAAAAGTTGTGCCTTTGGCGCAATGGTAATGGGTGTCCAATTGAATGATGGAGTTTCGGGTTTGAACCCAAATAGCACAATATTTTTTTTTTAATTTTATTTTGACAGTCACACCATTATTCTTGGACACCCTTAATAAAATTTCCGGCTCCGCCACTAGGTGTGAGAGCCATGCGCCTTACAAGGCGTGGCCTCACACGTGCCTTTCTTTTTACATTGTTAACCGCGTTAAAAAATTTGGGTTATGGTGTGGGGATCATGTGCCTTCACCCCTTTGCTCTTTAATTTATTTTTTTGTTGTCCTTTTGGAATTTTGGCAAAAAAAAAAAACTTGCTCTCTATTCTCTGGACTACAAAATGGACAGCTAAAAGTACAAGCGGATGAAGCTTCAAAGAAAAAGAGTATCCCAAATGAGAAAAACAAAATTTTAGGAGAAGTTAAATGGAATTATTGTAATGAGCGGAGCCACTCTAGGTGAAGGGTGTTTGGTGCTCACACATCGCTAGAAGAATATCAAGATTAAATATTACTTTGTTATTACAAGTGTATATTTAATTTTTTACACCCTTAACATAACTAAGAAGAATATTTGCACACCTTTCGCTAAACTCCTAACATACAATGAAGTCTACTATTCATGCTTGGCCAGTCACAAAGAAAGAAATTGCTAGGGCATTACCTTACAATTTCAAAAAAACAAGGCCCACAATTTGTTAGATAAAGTTTCACTTTATGTCTTTCTTTTTAGATTATTTTTATTGAGAAATGTTTTGATTCTAAAGTGAGTTCTAATGGATATCAATAAAATTGATATGATGTTTCAAGTTAAATCGGTAAGGTAATGTCTAGCCTTCCTTACTTGTACTATTTTTTTTTCATATCCCTTACTTGTACTTATTCTTATTGATATCTTTTAATTTTTAATAAAAGACTGATGGACACTTTATCTAGTGGTAAATTTGCTAAAAAAAATAGGAGTTTTTTAGTTCCTTTTGCCAGCAAGATGAATAATATTTTAAAAAAGAAGAGAAAACTCAATATCATAATTCAATGTCTGATTGCAAAAGATAGGTAGGTTCATCTCTTTTGACAACTCTGATTCTAATTCACACAACTCCAGTGGAATACGTTTGATTCGTGGAAATAGTTCCCTTTGCTCCGTTAGCTAGTGTAAGAGAGATGTCGTGTCACCTTTACTAATATATAAGAGAACGGATTATTACATACACAAGTTCTTTTGCGAATCTCTTTCTCAGACAGAGGAAATATGTGCCCTTCATATGCAGTGTAACGTGAAACTCCAAGTTTGCACTGCATACAGTAAAACATAGATGTTACTTATTGCTTTCATAAAGATTGATGTCAACAAGCTGGAAAACAGACAGATCCTTAGATTTCAGTAGTTAAATGTAATTAAATAGTGAGAGTTGTGCACTCCTTACTGTATCGTTGCAGCTCGATGAGTCGCTTCTCTGTTGACAACATCCACGACTCCAACGATATTCAATACCTTCATATACATAACTTTTTGTTAGATAAAATATATAATAAGAACTTGTGAGCTACTCAATCTTATGACAAAAGAAAACAATGATTTGTATGACCTACATTAGCAACTTTAAAATCTCCAGGCATACTCAATAAAGACATTTTCCCTCTCTCACTTTCTCCCTTGAAGATCGTGTCAAATAAGAACAGCTCTACATACTATAACTGATCTTGTTGCAGTTCAGATTCACATTTTCCTTCACTCCAGCTTCCCTCACTGTCTCACTCCATGCTGCCTCTTTGAGAGAGCATCAAAATGAACTAAATTGTAAGTTTTAAAGCCATGGATCAGTTGCTACCTTTGGGTAATACACTTTACCTTTTCTCTGTGAACTTATAACACCTACAAATGATAACCCAGTGAAATCTTTATATCGGTTGGGTACATCTACAGAAAGACGAAATCCAAATAGAATTAATTATTGCATACCCAAGTTCTATCATGAATCTCTCTCTCGGGCCAAGAGTTGAGTTGTTCTGTTACAAACAGAGGAAACATGTGCCCTTCACAGGCAGAATCACCGTGTTTGTTCTCCGCTTCCCAGTCTGCTCTGCATAAGTAATCCAAAACCAGAATAAAACTTGTTACAACCACTTATAAGTAAATGCATTGTGATGGAGAACCAAGACATAACACAAGTCGAGGATGTCATAAGCCATTAACTCTATCACATCTAGTATTCTGTCATTTATCTTATGTTTTTGATAATGGTAACATATTTTATCTGATGTAATACCCAACTACATACAGATGAGTAGAGATGGAGCACCAAGTTATGATGCAACTCACAAGATGTGAGGTAATTTAATGAAATTCCCAATGCTTTGCGAGGCAATGAATTTTTGCATACCCAAGTTCTTTGGCGAGTCCCTTTTTCAGAAAACATGTTCCCTTCATAGGCAGTATCCCCAAAGTACCATCTGCCAAACCAATCAAAAATCAAAATAAAACTTGTTAGTACATCGAATCATGAAATAGTGAAGAAATACTTTGCATATAAAGAGAGAACACAATTTCGTTACCAATAAATATATATACCTATATTTAATCTACTTGTGACCTTTGTTTCTTTGAAGAGGAGCAACTGGCCTCTTCATATCTGCTCTTCCTTATCCCAATGCAAAGCTCAGCTTCATCTTTATACAACAAACGAACTTCAAATTCTTTCATTTCTCCAAAAAATAAACAAATAATCTCAGTCATTTGGTGTTTTTCCATTTGCTTTAGATGCATCCCATAAGCCACCAAGAGGTACCAACAAAAAATTAATATCATCAAGATATTCTGCATGGTTGGATAAAGCAAGTTTTTGGGTCATCAACGACATCCCAGCATCACATAAGGGAATCAAATGAGCTGTATTGTCATTTAATTCGCCAGAGTAACATACAGCAAATCCCAAGAAGTTATCTGTTACATACCAATTCATAGGCAAATTGACTAATACACTTGTACCAGTTCCCCGAAGGTGGAACCAACTTGGGATATTCTTCGGCCTACTTGTAAACACTCTAAGTGACAAGGAATGTGAATCAGAGGTGTCAGGGTGCAATAATGAGATATTCTGAAACAATGAATTACAGATCGAAGAATTGCTCCAATCTGCATTTATTGTATGTGGAAATTCTGGCAGCTGTGTAAGCCTCTTGCAATCTGATAAGTGCAAGTATTCAAGAGCACCAAGCTGGGCTATGCTACGAGGCAAATACTCAAAATTATTTCCACTGAGATTCAACTTTTTTAAATAGGATAAGCATCCAATGTCTTCTGGCAGCTGTGTAAGCCTCTTGCAATCTGATAAGTCCAAGGATCGAAGAGCACCAAGCTGGGCTATGCTTCGAGGCAAACGCTCAAAATTATTTCCATTGAGATGCAACGTTTCCAAAGAGGATAAGGATCCAATGTCTTCCGGAAGTCCTCCATCAATTAAATTGCAGTCACTGAGATTCAGAGCAACCAATGAGGGTAACCCTTCATTCACCTGAGGGAACACAAAGTACACTTTGTCTTCTGTTTTTTCTTTTTCAAAAGTTAATAATTTAAGCTTGTTCAATCGGACTATGGAAGACGGAGGTCGTGAGATTAGAGTATCTCTGGCATCAAGCTCCTCCAAGTTTTCTAAATCACCTTTTTCTTCTGGCAAGCTTTCAAGTTTTGAGCACCCCACACAATTAGCTTCACCAAACCTTTCATCCTACAAATGCTGCTTGGAAGAGCTACAAGGTTATTCATTTCACTTAAATCTAGGCTTGTTGGACCAGCTTGGTGCTCAATAATAGATGATGGAAGTTCCATTATTCCAAAGAATGACATCATAATCATTAACTCCGGCTTCATTATTCCAAGGAATTCCGGAGATTTCTCTAAACTATAGCAGGAACTTAGATTAAGATATTCAAGAGATTCCACATTAACATATGGAAACCTATTAAGGCTTCCACACTCATTCAAATTTAACTCAATGAGTTTTCTGGAACATCTCAGAGAATGGTGAACCTCTTCAAGACTCATACATTCCTCTAGATCCAAATACTCCAAATTTGGCATTCCCATGAAAACTGGCGTTTTCTTCAGGCTTTTTGAGCCACTTAGATATAGCCTCTGTAGAGACGACAATTGCTGCTATTCAAAACACAGAAGGAATGATGAAAAACGAGTTTAAATAGTAAACGACATTTTTAGATTATGACTCGACGTGTGAAATTAGAAATTGCTTACTTTACTTTTTATGGAAATTACTTGCTAAGAAACTAGATAAAAATCATGTTATTATAAAAAAAAAAAGGTGAACTATCTATAATAATAATAAAAAAAAAAAAGACCTTAACCCTAGCATGTTGTATTTGGTGCACATTTGAATATTGCAATTGTACTCTTAAGTGTCCCCTATACTTGATGTGGAAAAGAGTGCCTAAATGTGAAGTAATGTTTAATTTATTTAGAAATGTTATAAAAATTGTTGCCAAAGAGAAAATAAAGTGTTAAATTCAGATGCAATGTATGAAATCTACTAGTTTCTGGACACATGTGTTCCATGTAATTTTTATAGGTTAGTCATAAATATTTAAATTTTATGAAAGTATTTGTGTAATTATAAGTAATAAAATGCAAAATTACAAACAAAAATTTATAAGTGTGACAAGAAACATCAAATGAGAGGCACATTTAATTTTTTAAAATTAATGCTTTTTAAGCAACCAACAGTAAATTTTGAACTTTGATTAGTAGTCTGCAAACTTTCAATAAAGTGACAAACAACTAATTTGAACCCAAGTACATACTTTCGACAATTAAAAATTCATAGGTAATTAAACTAAAGAAGTCTAATAAAGAGAAATACAAAAAGAATAAACAAAACAAAATAAAAAACACAATATACACATCCTTCTTAATTAAGACTTTAATCATAACAATGCAAATGAAAAAAGAAATACAAATCAGTATATAATTTTTTGTGTTCTTGTCGATACCTTCTCCATAAGTTATTAAAATACAAGAGTCTTTTTCATCGAGTAAAACTAAAGCATGAATTAAATTGTAGAAAATTTTAATAGTTTAAGCAATTCACTGCTTTAACTATAAAAGGCAGAGGATAGCTTTGGGTAAGAGTCTCATAAAACAAAAGGAGATGTATTTATATAGATAAAAGTAGAGGAATATCAAAAGATATCTTAAAAATTAAAATTTAAGTTTTGGAGGTTATGAATATGAAAAACATTAGAGGCATGAATGTTAATTGTAAAAATTGAATAGACAATTAGATATGAGTTATGAAAATGAATATAATAAAAGTGAAAAATTATAAATAAATAAAAGAGAGAAAAATAAAATTCATCAAAGGGAAGATTAACCATCACACCAATAGGGACACTCTAGACATGAGAATGTGGCATTGAGCTCCTCTGTTATTGACTAATAATAAATGAATTAATATAGTTTCCATTAGGAGGTTGGAAGATGAAAGAGTAAATATTTGAATAAACATACTTTATTAAAGATTGATATCATCGGAAAATTTGCAATATGCAGTGGAAGATTAAAACAAAACAATTCTATTGAATTGATTACAATAAATTGCATTTTAATTTTAGAAATATGGACAATCGCACATACTATTCATCTTTTACATTTATTGTGTGCTATTACTTTATTATTTTTTGAAACGTAAATTACATTTTAGCATATGAATAGGTTTGAATGAAGGATAAAATGGTCATTTAAACTGTTATTGATATTTTGGTTTTTGGGGTTTAAGGAAATAGATTTGACTTCTTCCTTCTTTTTTTCCCTTTTATTACTTCATCATGTTAATTAAATGTCACGCCCCGAGCCTACACCCTGGGCGGGACCGGCACTTGGAGACCATTGCTGGCCCCAAGCGAACCCTTGGCCTGGCTTTCTTAACTCAGCGGAAACCTACTCAACAGAATAACTCAATGCCATGCAAAGACATAAACAACTTAAATGATACACATTTGGCCAAAAAGGCAACTCGAGTCTCAAAATAGAATATTTACATATATACATAGATAAGAGACTCAAAACTAACTGACTGACTGTCTATGAAGCCTCTAAAATACTGAGATGGATGTTGGGACAGACCCCGCAACATCCTAATAA